GGGAGCTCAGGGGACAGACGGACGGACAGACAGACAGACCTGTGGACTGGGAGCTCAGGGGACAGACAGACAGACCTGTGAACTGGGGGCTCAGGCCCTGGGGGTTGTGCAGCAGGTCTCTCCACAGCAGATCCATCTCCGGGATGCGGGCCACGTTCTGCAGCAAGCGGACCAGGTCTCTCCCGATGATGAAGCAGTCCATGAACTGGGCCAGAGACAGTGCAAGAACAGCCTACACTCAGAGCCCGGTTCTGTTCCCCCACCCACAGAACCTGACGCCCTCTCTCTCCAAGCACCTGCCTCCCCCTTCCTCCTCTCCCTCTCCTCCCTCCTCTTCTCTCCCTCCCCTCTTCCTCCTCTCTCCCTCTTCCTTCCCCCCTCTTCTCTCCCTCCCCTCTTCCTCTCTCCCTCTCCCTCACCTTCTCTCTCAGCAGCCCGATGCAGAAGTCCACCTCTCTCTGCCGCAGTGCCAGCAGTGGCGGGCTGCCATGGTGATCCACGATCAGGCGCAGGTAGGTGTAGACGGACATGGCGATCAGCATGCTGCTCTTCATCACCCACTCCCTGAGAGTGTGGACACAGTGCACATTACACCCTGCACCCCAGTTCTCTCCAATGCCCGCACCCTTCCTCTCCCCGTCGTCCCCAGTGTAGAGACACCCCCCCTCTCCCCACCGTCCCCCAGCATACCTCTGTTCCACCAGTATGTCCAGGACATTCTCAGCCAGCCAGATGTTCTTGTTGGAGATGTCCCCCCCTGAAAAGACAGACAGGGTGAATACAGATCTGGGGTCCTGTGTGATCCGCCGCCTGGAGAGACGGGGACACCCCCTCCAGACCCTCCAGACCGGTGACTGACCTGCGATCTGCTTCATGAGCGTCATGCAGACGCCGTCAGCGCCTATCACCCCACTTTTCACCAGCTCTCGAACCAGCCACACCAGCTGCAGGGAGAGAGAAGACGGCTTCAATCGCTCAGAGAGCAACTCAGAGTCCGACAGGCGACAGAGAGAGAGAGGAACTGGAATGCTACAGAACCCTAAACAGACAATACACACTAGCCGAAAATCTGACCAGGGTAAGAAACAGCAAAGAGAAACAGACCCTAAAAAGTACAGGCTCAGTGACCACAGCCTGGCCTTGGACACTGCACCCACTGCCAGCGGGGAGAAACAGAGACAGAGGTGCACTTCCTACTGCACTGTGACAGATACTCTGGGATTAGAGAAACATTCTTCCCTAAATTTACACAGCTAATCCCAGAATTCCCACACCTGCCAGAATCACATCGGGTCCCAATCCTACTGGGAGAGGGAGGAGGGAACTCAGCTGAACTGGCAGCCCAGTATGCGATCTCATGTCACAGCCTGAGTAACAGTGAGCCTGTCTCCCAATAATGCCCCATATGTTTATAGGATGTGTCTGTATTATACATGTCTGTAGATGTTGTGTTAATTGTATATGCTCTGGCAACAGTGAAATTCATTGCTCATGCCAATAAAGCTTCTTGAATTAATTTGAACTGAAACAGACAGGTGTACCTGAGTGCGACAGATGTCCTGCACTTTGAGGAATTTCTCCATCAGGATCTGGTTGATCTTCATCAGAACGATGTTCATCCCGTCTCTGTTGACCAGCGTCAGGTCTCTGTAACACTGTGGGGGGAGGGACAGAGAGGCAGTGACTCGCACAGACGCACCTGCACGGATACACACACAGGACTGGGAGAGGACAGAGACGGTGATACCACCAGGGCGGCGCCATACCCTCTGAGCCTGCGTTGGCTCTGTGAGCAGTAGAGTGAACAGGCCCAGACACACCTCCTCATGCTGCTGGGACCCCTTGCAAACCTGAGAGAGAGAGAGAGACAGCTCTGATGAAGCGCAGCACAGCAGAATAGTGCAATATAATAGCAGATAGGTCAGTACAGTACAGCTTAGTTCAGTAGTTTAGCTCAGCACAGTCCAGTCCAGTACAATTTAGCACAGTGCAGTACAGTCCAGTACAGTTCAGGACAGCTTAAAGATGGTGTTGTATAGTCCAGTACAGTTCAGGATAGTAAAGCACAGTGTAGTATAGGCCAGTACAGTATAGTTCTGCACAGTGTACTATAGTTTACTACAATGTAGTTTAAGTACGGTTGTGAGAAACATTTTGTGAACCCTTTGGAATTATCTGGATTTCTGCATGTATGGCTCCTAAAATGTGATCTGATCTTCATTTAAGTCATAAGAATAAATAAAGACAGTCTTATTTAACAAACAACACACACAACATTTCACAATGTCATATCTTTATTGAACAAATGGCTTAAACAACCAAGATCATTGATGGGAAAAGCATGTGAACCTCTAGGATAAAGACATCTTGAAAATAGGGTAACTGGAGTCAGGTGTTCCAATCGATTCAGGTGTGGGTTCGACCTGCCCTGCCGTATAAAAAAAATCACACAGTTCTGGTTACCTGCTCTTCACAACAGAATTCTGTTGAAGTGCAATATGACCCGATCCAAAGAGATTTCAGCGGACCTCAGAAGAAGAGCTGATGAAGCTCATGAGACTGGAAAGGTTTTCTGAAGTCTTGGCCTCCATCAGTCCACAGACAGACAGAGAAGAAATTCAGCACCGACGCTCCTCTCCCCAGGAGTGGGCGTCTTACAAAGATCAGTGCAAGGGCACGCCTTACGATCCTCAAGCAGGTGACAAAGAACCCTTGGGTGACAGCTAAGGATTGGCGACAGCTTGGGTGATAGCAGGCGTCTCTTGCACTTGATACAATCTGTGTTCATGAGTCTACCATAAGAAAAACACTGAACAAGAGTGGTGTTCATGGGAGGTTACTGTACCACAGAGGAAACCATGTCTCTCCAAAAACAAAAACATTGCTGCCCGTCTCAAGTTTGCTCAAGACCACCTGGGTGTTCCACAGCACTACTGGAACAATGTTCTGTGGACAGATGAGACAAACGTTGAACTTGTTGGTAAGTGTACAGCGCGTTATGTTTGGAGAAAACAAAACACCGCATACCAACACCAAGACCCCAGCTGTGAAGCATGGTGTATATAGTGGTGTGGGGCTGCTTTGCTGCCTCAGGGCCTGGACAGCTTGCAATCATTCAGGGACCAATGAATTCCAAGCTGTATCAGGACATTCTACAGCAGAATGTCAGGGCGTCTGTCTGTGATCTAAAACTCAAGAGAAGTTGGGTCATGCAACATGACAATGAGCCAAAACACAGGAGTAGATCAACAACCGAGTGGCTCACAGAGAAGAAATCCCGTATTTTAGAGTGACCAAGCCAGAGTCACGACCTCAATCCCATTGAAACGCTGTGGCGTGATCTGAAACAGGCCGTTCAAGCAAGACATCCCAAAAATATACATGACCTGAAACTGTTCTGTATAGAGGAATGGGCCAAAATACCTCCTACCCGCTACGCAGGTCTGACCAGCAGCTACAGAAAGTGTTGGGTTACTGCCACTAACGGAGGTTCCACTAGTTACTAAATATAAGGGTTCACATACTTTTCCCATCAATTACCTTGATTGTTTAAACCACTTGTTCAATAAAGACATAGCAATGTAAAATGGTGTCTGTGCTGTTTTTTAAATAAGACTTAGATGGAAATCAGATCACATTTTAGGAGCCATTCATGCAGAAATCCAGATAATTCCTAAGGGTTCACAAACTTTTTCTCACAACTGTAGTTCAAGTAGGGAGCTGTGTCAGCATGCATAGGCTGCAAAGGAACAAGTAAAAGTTTATTCCAGTCTGAAAAGAAAAGAAAAAGAAACAATGTTTCGGTTGTGTGACACCTGAAGAAGGCCTAAATGTTGCATTTCTTTTCTTCTCTTTTCAGCATGGAATAAACCGTCACAGTGTAGTATAGCCCAACACAGATTAGTACACTTCAGCACAGCACAGTGCACTACTCTTCAGCACACTTCAGCACAGTGCAGCAGGCTACAGCAAAGTGCAGAACACTTCAGCACAGTGCAGCAGGCTACAGCAAAGTGCAGAGCACTTCAGCACAGTGCAGCAGGCTACAGCAAAGTGCAGA